TGACAGTAAGAAATTTGAAACAGACCTCATACGCGTAGTCAAACAGCTCTAAGATGGTGAGGATGCTGGCTCCAATGAACAAACCCATCTGGCCACCAATATCACCTGTGGAAGGACAGAAGGACAGTACAGACACCAAGAGAAATACAAATCGAAGACATTTTTTTGTTTTTCTGGAAAGATCTTTGTGTCATGGTCAGGAGAAAGACTTGATTTGATTTACTTGCAACACGTAGGCACAGATAACGGGGACAGACAGGCAGAAAGAGAGACTATTTTTTCTTCATTGTGAAAACAGCCTGGTGTTATAAATTGCAACAGGCGTGTTGCTACAGGTGAAGAAAAAGATGTGACCCAGAAAGTCGAGCGACACTGACAGATCCATGGGTTTGATGGCTCATCGGATGGTGCTGCAGTTTGTTGGACCAAACTGATACAAAAGATATGTTAGGTCTTGAAAGGTCATTAAAATGACTACAAAATTGCACTTTTTAGGGCATTTATTGCCTTTTAGAAAGTGGAAAAAGTAGAAAGGCATCATTTAATTTGGAAATAGTCTATCAGAAAGCTCTGCACCAATTCTGAAGCTGCTCAGGAGGAAAAAGGAAACACAGCAGGGAGTGATAGGACACCTAAACAAAATGCAGGGCATGAGCCACAGTGCTAACTACTAATTCCGACTTTATTGCTCTCTGAAACAGGTCTGCTATCCGTCCGCATCTAATATTGCTTTGGCATATAAGGGCAGAGATGCTGTCTGTGACTTCAGCAGCATCTGATATATACATATTTGACATGGTTTATTTTTCTTTGGTAGTTTTGACACCAGAATCCCAGAACATCTCAAACCATCACAGCTCGTCTCAAAGCCACCGGCGTTCATAAACGATATAATATGAAAACATAAACAACTTTACTGAGCTTTCTGTGTTCAATCTCTAATAAGGAAACATGGAGATTATTAATGGGTAAATTTACGAGGTATGTTGGAATTATCTTTTTAAGACAAGATGCTTCATTACCAATAAGTAATGAGTAATTTAGCTACGGCAAACATCCTTTATATAAGAAATAGAAATAAATCTCAAAAATACAGTAACCTAACATAATAACAACATATGTTATAACTTAAATATGAATCAAGTAAACAGTATAATCTATGAAAAATGCTCATGAATAAAGATAAATAAGATAAATCACACATATAAAGACTTGTACATGAAACAAACATCAAGATTTTATACTGTTTGTTTTCCATTTGGGATCCAGGTTTGGAAATCAAGGAAATCAATGAGCCCACCTACCCAGCAAGCCTGCCACCTCATAGGCTTTCTTCTGCTCGATGGTCTCGTAGTTCAAAGCTTCAAAGAACACATCCAACACCAAGATGTTGTCTCTGTAAAAGGTAACAGAAGGTTCATTTACTTTTCCTAATAAAACCCCACTTCAGGTAAAAACTTCAGTTAATAATAGTTCATTCATTTCAAGAGCGACTAGAAGAAAAACAACTTGCTTGCTACATTAATTCATCTTTCAACGATCCCTGTTATCTACAACCTTTATTTAAAGCAAGAACAGAGAAAAGGCCAAGTGGTTTGCACGGGTAATTCGCAAGGAGAAACTGCTTAACCTCTTTACAAGCAGAGTTTGGTTTTCTCCTTTTTTGTCCGTCTCCCCTTCAAATGATCAATTCATAGACACAGTAAGCTCAGCTCCTTTTTTATTCAATTGTAAAATGTCATGTTGCATACGTTTACGAGTAAACAAAGTGAGTAGTTCTAATTAATCAACAAAAGCACATTAGTACTTATTAAACTGGGTTTAATTAAGGTTAAAGATAACTATAAATTATAAACTGTACCACAGGATCAGTTATAAGTGTAGGAATTTTGTATCTGCAAGCCATCATGCTTTAAAAGAAGTTTGTGTGTTTATTTTTTTTTCTCCGAAAAACTCCTCCTGCACGATCGTAGTGTTGAGCAACCAAACTTGGCTGACAAAGAACACTCCAGGTCTCTGAAGGTTCTCATCTATATTAGAGATTATGATTGCATCATGTTGCCTTGCACCAAATGGCATGTTTTCATCGTTCACAAACCCATAACAACTTACATTATTTTCATTTTATGATAATAACATCTAATTTATATTCACAAATCCTCAGTTATGCACAACATATTCTGAAATCATCAGGTTGCTTGGCAACCACCTACCAATGGACTAAAATTATCTGATTTTTTTTTTTTTTGCCTTCATGCACTTTCAGCTACTTATCACACCTTATTCTGTCAGCATCTGCAAAAGCTGAATTATACACTATAACATCATCATGTTGCCTAACAACACCATGGTAACGGGCTACAATGGCCTATGTTTTGTGTCTATAACACCTTATACATGCATAGTGTCATTTCCAACAGCAATAACAGGACAAACTGTAGCATGGTTATGTACTAATTACTATAATATAGCAGATACAGAATGATAAGGAGAGTTATCTACTCACGTGATGTACTTCTCTGACTTGTTGAACTTTTTCTGCAGGTAGCGGGCTGAAGTCTTGCTGGGGATTTTGACCATGGATAACTCTTTGTTGTAGCGGGTCATGTTGCATGGCGTCCTGCACATGCAGTTACTGCTTTCCACAGCAGACAGTTTAGCTTCATAAAGATGTGGTTATGGAGATGGGGGGGAGTGTATTTAAATTTGACATTTTAAAAAAAAAGGAACAAAATGACAGAGGATGGGATGAGCATGATTGACACAAGAAAAAAACATTAGATTCCAATTCCAGACATAGTCAGAAATCCAATCTGAAGGCAGCAAATGGACCAAACTGGCTCATGTCTACCTGAACAGTGTTTTCATAAAGAGTTTCATAAAGTATTGATTGTGGGTGTGAGGCTCCTGATGTGTTTTTGAATATTAAGCTGACAATCTCCGCATTTTTTTTATGCCCTTCATCCCACAGGCAATTCATATCAAACTGGCAAAGACGACTCATCCCATTTATTTAAAGAACCTCTGCCCAGACTGAACTGGTGTAATAATAAATTTCAATAAAAATGTCCAGGAAGTGAGTCATCTGCACAAAGCGGTCGATATATTAATCTAATATTGTATGAGAAATTCAACTCACCGTTGAGACTACAGAATATATATCTCTTATTACAAGATATAATAAAAGACTAAAATAATGTATACTATAGGAATTGTCCCCTGGGATTGCAAACCCTTTTCTTTGCCCTGCTCAGAGGATAGTGCTTTCTGGGATTTTTAGTGGGGCTTACTGTCCTTTCTCAGTTATCTAATGGTGAGTGGCCACAAAAGTTCATAAAAACTGTTTGCTTATATTAAGGTATAGAGCAGTAACCGACTGCAAATACATCTAGACTTGGGCCCAAATGCTTTTTTTTGACCACTGAGAGTGAGAATAGTGGACAGTGAGCAGCATAGAGAACGAAGAGTGAGAGCAGCATTTGTGCAGACAAACAATGAATCAGAGAAATAAACTAGTTTGCTTGTTTCACTAAAGTGATGTTCTGAAGGACAAAACCCACCCACACCTCCACATAACCCCATTTTTGTGTATGAAGTTTAAGCTTATCGAGTCCACAGTAGTCACTGCTCTCAATTGTGTGCGCACTGTAGAAACACCAAAAACAGCAGTTCCTTGAGTGTCCACCTGAAGCTCCAGAACTCAATTCCTGATGTTAAAATGCTTAAAATGCTTAAAATGATGTTTAACGTCACAGAAGTAGAAAAAAAAACATGGTTACAGCCTAATACAAAAACAGTTTTGGTCTCTGCCTCTTCATAGGAACATACAGAGTGATTTTGAAACTCACTGTTTTTAACCCTTTTAAACTTAATGCCAACTCAGGAAGCTGTAGCTGATATCCATCTTTAAGACACTAAACTGGATCTCTAGATTGTGCTTGTGGTTTTGAAGCTTTTTCTGGATGATTATCTGGATATCTGGCTGTATTGTATTTGGAAGTATTATATTTATAGTATTTTTTTTTTACTTTTATACTTAGTAGTTGGCAGGATCTGTATCTACATTGTTCACTGATGTAGCCTGCTAACCCATGTCATTCTAATGTTAACTGATAAATTCACCCTTTCATTTAATTGTGGTCACTTCTGACTACACATTATTTAGGTACTGATACACATTTTTACTTTTTTAATAGTTAATATAGTTTTGCACTCCATCCAACTGCAAACAAACAAAATTATTTGACTGACGACTTTTACTATTCTTTTCCTCGCTCATCTGGCATTATTCTAACTAAAGTTAGAGGTCACACGTGCTGTACATACAAACACCGGCATAGAAATCAGCATAAACGCCTGCCCACATTTAAAAAGTTCTATTGTGTTATATGGATGTTTACTCAATCAAGCCCTAATGAAAGTGATGTCATAATTAGTGTCGCAGAGGAGAAATTATATAGCACATCAGGACTCTGACGGGGACAAAGTCCTTACAAAGGGACAAAGTCCTGATGCACAAACATCAAGCCCTAATGAAAGCTTCTGCTTTGCCAGACTCAGAGGAAAAAGTACTTGAATACACCGAATGAGTTTGTGTGAAGTCCACATCCTCCTATATAACACCGACTCTCTCAAGAGTGATGGTAATATCAAGCAATGTTTTATCAAATAAAAGGTTCTCGGGTACTGAGACTGCTCATCCATCACTCTCTTAAAGTCAGATTGTCTAAAATTGTTTAAATAGAGCTCGTTGAATTTTGCCAGAGATTACGGAGCTCTTGTTCCCACAATGAAAAAACTTTTCTTTTCAGAGCTAAAAATCGTGGGAGTTAAAAAAAACGGTCAGAATGGAAAAGAAAGCAGAAGTTAACATAATCAGACCTTTTTTCTGACCAAAGCAGCGCTGTGGCAGGCCCGCAGATCACAGAGCAGGAGGCAGATATTCCCCACGGTGCACTAATAGCTGGCGGGACCACACAGTCACGTAATTGCAAGAGGAAATTCAATATGGCTTCACAGTGGTCTCTTATTCTTATTCAAATGAGACGTTATTGGATACATGAGAGCAAGGCCTCATGCATTCGAATGATTGATTTCTTTGTCTAAGCCTATAACCTTTGTCCAGCTTCTCCACTCTCTTTCTCATGCACATTTTAATCTAAAACGTGAAATTACTATAATGCATTTCCTTCTGAATAATTTCATAATTTTCATAATGCTAGCATTACCAGCTAGTCATACATTACCTGACAAAAACTAAGAACAAAGAAACTGAAGACCATTTCTGCCTGGATTTATAGTTTTAAGCCATCTACATTTCCTCAAAAGCAAAGATAAGCAAGTTGTTCACAGACAGCAGATGCAACTGTCTCCTATTAAAATATATTTTCAAAGCTACTTCAGGACTTGAGTGACGCAGTTACATGGGTAGAGAAACCCAATCAAACTCTGCTGTGTGAGATCTCCTGTGATGGGTATAGCAAATTGGCAGTTGGACTTTAAACTTGAATTCATTTGCATTCAATGATCCAAGCTGAGTGAGTGAGTGTGTTGGAATTATGAAAGCCTCACTGTTCCAAAAATGAAGCCAATTACAGAAGAGAGAGTAAAAGAGCTGTCTGGAATATGCACCTAAGCCTTGTGCACTCCAGGATCGTACCATGTAACTTGCGCTTTCGAGTGCATGCTAACAAAATATGGGCGAGTTGCACCGAGGGCTCTCGTGGTGTGGGAGTGCTGCGGCTTGGTGCTGATTGCCTCAAACTTTTGTTGGACTGTTTTGTCTATTCCTTGCTTGCCAGAAATAATTTATGATGAGATGAGAAAAGGTGGGGGCTGAGCAGGGAGAAAGCTGAAGGATGAGAGCAAGTATTGCTGATGAACTCCCACTGGCCAGCAGTTGAGGTTGATAAAGGTCATCATTACTCATTGTGCTTCTGAATCTAGTTAATATTCAGTGTATCTATGTACTCGCTTAGTGTTTATGCGCTTTTGTTTACCATGAAAATATATTAGATTTGAATTAACATGGCTATCAGTGGCTTTGGTTAACAGTTTCAGGTGTGCCATGATGTCTTAATTACTAGTCTTTCCCCCCCAGTAACAGTGGAAATGTCTTGCATTGCAAAGGTCTTTGAGTCTTTAAACTGCAGTGGGACAGCGGAAAAAACCAAGCCAGACATGATGTGCATCAAAGCCACAATTCTTATTGTGTTTGTTCTGTTTCTCAGTTCCTTTCAAGAGGAACTTTTAGCCACATTCCCACTTCCTACATTTTTGTTTTCCCACTGGTCCGCGTTCAACGGGGCACATCCAAAACTCATAACTTTTTTTTGCTACAGTTCACAGGTTGAACAACACACAGCTATAGGGCTTTCTGTGGCACTTTTGCTTGCCGCTCAGTGGGGATGTCAGAAGCGTTAAACTATTAGCAGAACGATGCTCATAAATCCCTGGCGTATAAAAAAGGCGGCACACATAATGAATGAGCTGCCATAGGTGCAACCTTGGGTAACATACCAGGGCACCACCATTTCTCTTTTTTAAAAAAAGAAAGAAAAAAAAGAACATGCTGCTGTGTGTCTTGATTTCCCTGCAGCCCTCCACTGACCTGTTTCCCATTTACTCATTTTCTAAGCATCTATTCAGGTCTATGTTTACCTTCTCTGGGCTACACCGTTGCTGTCCTTCATGCTATTTATTCTTGCAACCTAGCCTCCATCATTGTTATCATTTCTTCTGCACGTAGTTCCATCATAGTGAGCTCCAAACACCAACCTTTTTTATGCATTTTCAAAAAGACGACACATTGAAAAGGTGACAGATGATTTTTTTTCCTAATTAAAAATGGGCTTCTCGCCCCCACAAGCATTAGATTGTTGTTGTTGCATAGACTATGTTTAGTCAGATGTTGTATAATT